CGGGTTCTCGCGTCAACGAACGGGAGCGTGTACTGCTCGTCGTCGAGCCCGCAGTGGCCAACGACAAGGAAATCGCTGTACACTTTGTGCAGCTTGGGGTAGCGGTTAGTCCCTAGTTCAAGAAGGAGGAACGGTTGATGGCAGAGCGTAGCTTTGGGGCAGACGATGCAGTTGCGCGGCTGTGTCGTGCTTCTCATCTTGGTGTCATCATGCCGCAGGAGAGCGCTAGGTGCGAAGACACCTGCGTCGAGGCAGTTTTTCAACGTTGCGCGCGAGGGGTGACCGAGGCGCTGGTGCCAAAGGTCGTCATTTGTGCGAAATCCGGTGGTGCGCATGTAGCGCGCGCGCGCACTATCTCAGGGTCTTCTTTTGGTGCTGGGGCAGGTTCTGCTGCTGCTTCTTCAGCTTCCTCTTCGTCGCTCGTCGTCGTCAGCATCAGCGCCAAGTATTCTCTGTCACGAATCACGGAAAATGGGATGTTTTTCCCGGGGATTGTGCCGGGGAAGTAGGTAGGTTCGCGCGGCTCGGGACCGGGTCTGTAGACTGTGCGACGCTGTGTTGACGGTTCGTTCCCCCAGTCGATGGTGTCCCACGGATCTTGGTGTGGCTGTATGTCAGGTGGGGGTAACGCAGGTGCGGGAAGGCGCGGGGGGCGGCCAAGAGGAACAACGCGCGGTTCGGCTTCTGCTCCCCTCCTTTGTTCTTCTCGCTATGCCTTCCAGCCCTCACCGGAAGTGCCCCATCCGCTGGTGTTGCCGCTAGTTGCTGCGCCCCAGCCGCCAATGTCGCTCGTCCCCCATCCGCCAGTGCTTCCCCACCCCCCGTCGTTGGAGGCGCTCTCTTCCTCCGCTCCCCAAGCAGCGTAGGCGAACGTTCCGCGTGCTTCTGCGAGGCTTTTGCGGTGAAGTTCTTTGGCTTCACGGCGCGCCAGCTCCTCTTCTTGTTCCACGGTAAGTGTTGTCATGGGGTCGCGCAAGTGGGGGTACTGCTTTATGAATTCTTCTATGGTGTAGGGGCGCGCCACTCCCCGTGCGTCGAAGGTTCCGCGGCGCTGTCCGCGTAAGATGTTTTCGAGCCGCTGGGAGGGGGAACCTGCAAGTGGGTTCTGAGTGCTGCCGAGCACGTGGTGAGAAACCACTTCCAGCTCCAACGCCGACATGCCTTCTTCTAGCGGCGCGGTTCGTTCAGCTTCGGCTATGGCGGCGAGACCACGGCCAGCGATAGCACTCGTTGAGGCAGTGGGCGTGTGACAATCCCTGCAGACGCCGTCTGGGTCAGGGTCGTATAGTGCCAGCTCACGCGGGTGTGGGTGATGTGGCACCCATGGCCTGCCGTCAGGGTGCTTCCAGTTCGAGCGATGGATGTGCTCGAATCGCAGTGGAACGAGATCGATTAGCTCGTTCGAGTCGCCGCTGCAGTCGGGAATGTCAAAGTCGAGGATGTACACCCCATTCTTGGAGTGCGCTCGTCCGATCTGCCTTCGCGTTTGTGTCGGCGACGAGTAGTGCAGCAGGATGTCGCGTGTGCGAGGATCCGTGCTTAGTTTGACGCTGCAATCTATGAGTTGAGCGGCGGATAGCAGATTGAAGCGCAGATTCAAGACTATGAGCACATCATTCAGCGTGACTTGAGCACAACGATTCCTTGTGCGCTTGCGCGCAGGCGGGTATTGTTCGCCACGGTGACACAACTGACTATGGGGGTTGGGACGGCGTTGGAGACGAAAGCTCGGAGCCCACCATGTGCTGGCCGCAAACAGCTATCCAGGATCCAGGTGTTGTAGCGCTTATTGTCGTCACGGGCGAGCAGCGCCAGTCGCGGCATGACGATGTGCGGTGTGTCGAAATGAAGGAATTGTTCGTGCGAGATCCAGTCGATCGGTGTTGCCCGCGAATCAGGTATGTGCGGGGGGCTTTCAAGCAGCGGGACTGGGAGATTCCAGTCTTGCTCGTCGTCGTCGTTGAAGTAGTGGCAAATGGTGAACGGATTGTTGTCCGTGAACGCCCCGATTGGATGGCGTGCTGGCTCGGGTGATGGCGTGCGTACGCGGCGACGGCGAGATCCACTCGTCATGGTCATGTTGCCGATGACGTTGCGGGCTGGAGCAGGCAGTGACGGCTGCTGCTGCTGATGCTGAACTGCTGGTTTCAAGCTGCGCGATAAGGGTTGGTACCCCTGGGCTTGACGCATATTGTTTCGTGCGTCTTGTCGGCCGGACCAGCTTCTCGGATTGGTCTGGCGAGAGCGAGATCAAAATTTGCATCAATCTGCTAGGTGCCCGAAGATTCTGCAGATTTTGGAGTCGAGGCGCCGCGGCCGTCCCTCTTCCGTGTTGTCCGCTTAGAAGGCGAGGCGTTCCCTGTCTCGTCGCGGCGCTGGTCATTGCTGATCCATGTCTCTCTGCTCGACGAGAGGGGCGGCGCATAGGGCGGCTTCCGAGATAGCCCCCTACTGTAGGAGAAGCGCCTTGCAGGGCCGCCACTCTGGGCCAAGCCCTTGAAGCACGATGTTAACAAAGATTTCTTCGGAGATGCTGCTTCCCAGTGTCGCGATTTGATCGCGTAAGCTCCGACAACGATTAACGTAGCTGTTGGCCTTCTCCCCTAGGGCCATTTTCGTCTCCAGTAGCTGCTGGAGCAGGCGGCTCGATGAAACTGAATCCTTCGGTTGGTAGACACCGTTCAGATGTCGCCAGGCGTCGAGGGCTGGGGCGGATGATGTCTTGTACGACCAGATACTCAGCTGCTCCGCCGGCGACATGTTTTGCAGTAGAACGTCGTACGTCATCAGGGGCTCGTTGTAATATTACGCCCTGGCGTCGGCGGTGTCTCCAGCAGGTCTCATGTAGCTCTTGTCAAAATAATGAATTATCTGCGCGTTTTGCAGCAGCAGCTCCAGCTCAAATCTCCATGTATAGAAGTCTCTGCCGTCAAAGCACACACTTGTCTTTATTTTTGATATACTCAGGGAACCTTGATTGCGTAGAGAGAAATGCTTCTTCGCTGGGACGGGGAATCTTGGGAGTTGAGCCATTCTTTTCGAGGGAGAAGGTGTGCGGGGCGGCATTGTGGCCATTCGAGGCCGATTGAGAGGGTTGGGAAGATGTTCTCGTGTCGCCATTCCGCAATGTTTGGAGCCCTTGCTCCAAGTTTGTGAGTCGCAGAAGCAGTTTTTCGAGGACGGCGGTTCCGATTGTCGTCGTCGCCTCGTTATGTCGCGGGCGGGTTGGGCTGCGCTTCAGCTGTCAGATTTGTCTGACCTCCAGATCCACAGTCCATTTTTACGCGCGAGCGTGTGCCGGACGCCACTTTAGATCGCCGACGATTTCGGGAGGTGGCGTTGCGAAGGATTCATGGGTCGCTCTGATACCATGCTGCGATCAGGAGTTGATCGAAACCACCATCACCTCATGAAAGTTCGCACAAAGTAGGTGTATTGGTGGTGGGCCCTTGACCTCGAGTCAGAGTGAATGTAAAATGATCGAGATGATTAAAACATGCAAATACCGTACAAGCATAAAAATGTAGTACAGAGGAATACCAAACGTCATAGCTAGCCATGTACTCTAAGGGGTACATTCCCTTATTCAAATTCAAACCCAACCGTGCGGCGCGTGCAGGTACGAAACTGTTCCCGCCAATTTCCTTGCTCCTGCAGCTGCCGGATGGCATTTGTTTCCGACGGTCCAGATCCATTCCAACTGTCCGCTCGCTTCGAGTCAACCCTGACTGTTCGTTTCCAGCTTCGATACTGTGAGCTTCATTTGCTGCTGTCAGGAGTGCACACTGCTCTTCTTAATTCATCATTCGTAACAAAATCCTCCTAAACTTTGAGCATATATATGCCACTCTAAAGCTCTTCCGTCATGTTACACTATGTCGACCAATGTCACATTCTGAAGTCAAATGGTCAATATGTGCCTTTAGTACTCTTTCCCTCAGCTGTCCCCCGTGCTCTCTTATCCATGCCATAATGCCAGACACTGTTGTCTCAAACGGGCGAGGGCTGAAGGTTGAGAGCCTATTCAACCCTCACTCATGTCCATCTCAATTACCTATGCTTAGTCCGTCCTTCAACTCTCTCCTGTGCTCTCTCATCTCAACCATGCCACTGTGTCAGCCACGCTCGTCTCGTATGGCCGAGAGGCGAGGGGCTGAAATGTTGATCCTGTCTATCTCTGTTTCCTATAATCAATCCCTCAACTCTTCCCTGTGCCATGCCACTGTGTCAGCCACTGCTGTTTCAGTGAGGAGAAAGAAAGGAGAGAGGATGATGTTGACAGTCTCAACAAAAGGAGAGAGAGTGGGTGGTTAATAAGTGCAAAGATTTGACAGTTGAAGACTTTAAGAAGTTGACAAAAGATCCTGCAGTGGGTACCAGTAGTCAATAGGGGCTTGAGCAAACGTGCGGCTTGCAGTGAAGGTTGTGGAAAGGAGAGATTCCCTTCGACTGAATTTCGAGTGCAAGGAAGTGTTTGGACGGAATCTCCTTATTCATTTTGTTTTTTAGGGCAGAATATTATTGAAACTCGTAATGGGTCTGAGTGCACACATCCACATCAGTTTCCTATGCCACCATACCACCCCACCCTGCCATACACTTCAGCCCACCCCACACACACATGCACCGCCTAACCCCCTCACACGCACACTCACACACACACACACTACCCCCAACTTCGTCACACACATGCAGTACCCCAAGAAACCCTACCCAGCTACTCAAGAGAAAGGCAAACAAGATTGGTGAATGCCTCAGGAGGCAGACCAACCAGCTGGATATCCCAAGCACTACAGAAGCTGCCATCACTCCCTCTTGCAGGTCAACTGCTTTCGATGTGACTTCAAAAGTTGCCTCAGCAGGCAGGCCCGACCAGCTGGATTTCCCCAAGCACCACAGAAGCTGGCAGGCATCACTGCCTCTTGCCCGTCAACTGCTTCCGTTCAGCATGATGCAGCTCTGAAGGCCCTAGCACCACCGCCACGTTGCCAAGCTAGCAGCTAGCGCAATCTTGGTAGTTCCATCGTGGTAGCACCACCAGAGTCTGCCCCAACTGCTCCGGTATGGCTGGATGCTCAAACCCCAGGCGCCACACCACACCACGCCACACCACGTTCCTATTTACGCAGCCGCTGCAACCTGCGGCGGCTGCTCTACTGCATACTGCTGCTGTTCTGCAGCATACTGCTGCTGCTCCACTGGATACTGCTGCTGCTCCGCTGGATACTGCTCCGCGCCCCCGCCGGCGCTTGCACCCTTGCTATTAATCCGCCGGAACGCGGCTTGCTTTGCGCCGAGCAGGAGAGTGCCGCCACCTGCTGCCGCTGCCCCTGCAAATCCGCCCATTGTGAACCCTGCAGCCGCATTCATCATCGCTTGCTGGCCTCTCTCCTGCACCGCCTCCCTGGCAATGTCCTCTGCCGTGCGCGCCGCGCTCAAGGCCTTGTTCTTCAGATCATTATCCTTTGCGAACTTCTCAGCCTTGTCTTTGACAATAGCAGCACCCTTCTTGACATTGTGCTTGGCTTTCTCGACCTTGCTCTTGGCGGCATCGGCATTGTTCTTGACACCACTCACGACGTTGTTTCTGGCGGCATCGACCTTGTTCTTGCCAGCATTAACCGTGTTCTTGACACCACCCACTACGCTGTTTTTGGCAGCATTAACCTTTTTCTTCGCAGCATTGACCCTGTTCTTGATACCACTCACGACTCTGTTTTAGGCGGCACCTACCTTGTTTTTGGCGGCATTTACCTTGTTCTTAGCAGCATCGACCGTGTTCTTGACACCGCTCACGACTCTGTTTTTGGCGGCACCTACCTTGTTCTTGGCGGCATTTACCCTTTTCTTGGAAGCATCGACCGTGTTCTTGACACCACTCACGACGCTGTCCTTGGCGGCCTCGACCTTGTTTTTGGCGGCATCAACCGTGTTCTTGACACCACTGACGACGCTGTCCTTGGCGGCCTCTACCTTATCGACCGTGCTTTTGACACCACTCACGACACTGTCTTTGGCGGCCTCTACCGTGTTTTTGGTGGCATCGACCGTGTTCTTGACACCACTCACGACGCTGTCCTTGACGGCCTCCACCTTGTTTTTGGCGGCATCAACCGTGTTCTTGACACCACTCACGACGCTGTCTTTGGCGGCCTCTACCGTGGTTTTGGCGGCATCAACCGTGTTCTTGACACCACTCACGACGCTGTCCTTGGCGGCCTCGACCTTGTTTTTGGCGGCATCAACCGTGTTCTTGACACCACTCACGACGCTGTTCTTGGCGTTCGTGAGCTTTTCCTTGAACTGATTGAAGCTAAACAGCTCCCTCCCCCGCTCAGCCCCCATCATGCTCTCCTCCTCTCCGCCGCTGCTCGCATCGCCGCCCACGTTCATCGAATCTGCTGCAGAAGTAGCCGCCTCAGACTCGAACTCTTGCAGAGCGCGGCGATTAAAACTCGCGTCAATCTCGGCGGCACTCCCGATGGGGGTGGGACGGGCCGCCGCATCGAGAGGGGACAGGCAAGCGAAGGCTAGCGCGAGGACGAAAACGAAGCGAAGCAGAGCACCCATGGCTGCGTCGAACGTTCGAAATAAGGGGAACTGACGGTGAGACCCAGCGGCGCTGGGTGATAAGAGAATCGCGACTCGGACAAACTCGGCTGTTTTGCAAACGAGGCTCGTAATAGTGTTCTGCTGGTATTCAATTGAATGGAGTCTGACGACTGAACCTGTGTCGTAGTTACACAATCTGAGGACTTAAATAAGCAGAGACGCTGTTGATGAGCCTGCAGGTGAGCGCCTGAGGCGGGAGGCTTGGCGTTCCGAATGTTACTAGCTAGTAGCCCTGTCGTCACTTGGGCGGAGTCGCGCATTTTGACAATTATTTTCTTAAAATAACACTTTAACGGCTGAGTGGTAGTGAATGAGGTTTCTGTGCTGGGAAACCTGCTGGAATTTCCCTCGAATCCAGTGCGTAGCGCGGCTGAAATAATCGTCGGGCGCAGGTGGCCGTCCATGTGCAGCGCAGTGTTAGAGGGCCCTACGACAGCAAGGGCCCTCGACGACTTGGCAGATTGCTAGATTGACGACCTAGACTGACGCCCTTCGCCACCGACATGGGAATATTGGTGATGGTCGCGTATTGACAAAGCGTGACTGCTGAACTTGTCGTTGGAGTTTGTGCAGGGCAGTACAAGTCTGTGGGAGTCATTGGTGGTGTTGCCGAGTTGGAGTTGGTTGGTTGGGGTGGCGTGTAAGAAGGAACATCCCGCTGCTGAGTCAGGTTGGGATTGGCCGAGGCGCGGTTCACCCATCCACACGACAGTTTCGTGGGGTTGGGTTACTGCGCAGCGCCACGGCAACTTTGTGCAACTTCCCCGTAGCCTATATCTATCTTGTGTGTTTGCTTTTGTATTCATAATAATATTACAATCTCTACTCAAGTTCTCACTTAGCCATTTGAGACAAGCTCTACCGAAACGCTACCGAATTCCTCGCGCAACACCATTCTCACAAGCAGAAACTCTCTCGCCGTCGTAACGCTCTCCATAGTATTCCTTCATGGTGCGGTGAGCGTGGAACGAACACGCATAGAATTCCGTCGTCGACTTTCTTAGCGTTCGTAAACTCGCCTTGGCGTGCGGCGTTAGTGAAGGGCGCATATTAAATTAAGTTGAACCTCTCTTAATTTCCCTCCAGTTACGTTCTCGGACCCAAGGATAGGGCGTTTGGTAATTTATTACCACTCGTCTGAGGACCCTTGTGAGGTGACCCCGAGACGAGGGATTTAAGGAAGGAACAATTTATTTTAATTTGTGGCACCTTATCGAGGCGTCGTAGAGGATGAGTTCGGAGGAGGCGGACGTTGAGGCCGTTAATTTTCGCGCACTAGAGGAGGAGCTCGTGGCACGTCGTTCCCGTGGCGAGCTTAGTAGTGAAGATTACGAGCTCATGTTGGAGGGAATACGCGCTCGTCAGCGTCGCGATCGTCCCTCGCCACGTGTAGAGCAAGCCGCGGGAGGAACTAGTGCGTGGGATATGGCTGTTGATGGCGGAGATGGCGATGACGAGGAGTTTGATGGGTTGGTGTCGCGTGGGGTCCTGCGAGGAACGACTCGGTTTAGTACGGCTAGCGTCGGTGGTATACAGGAGCGTGTTCATCGCGCAGCGGCGTCACACGAGCGTGCGAACGTAGGACGACAGAGCGTTGCTGGAGGAGGGAATGCGGAGGAGTACGATAGTGGAGCTATGCCAGGCATTACCCCGATTGGATCGATGTCGAGGGACGAGGGAATAGCCCCCAACTATGGCTTCTTCAAATTCACTCCAGACAAAATCGTCGTGCCTAGGCCACTCGAAGGACGCCACGACCTGTCGACATGGGTAGAATCGATCGAGCCGCAGCTTGAGATCGCTCAGCTAAAGCGTTTCATCGACGGTACCACTCCTATTCCCCCAGCACACGCAGTGGTGCTTCTCACACAGTTTCGCGCCATGCAGTTACTAACGTTCACCACGATTTCCCGATGCTGCTCCCCAACCGTACAGATCGCCCTTAAGGCGTGTCGCATGAAGGTAGATGCCGGCTTCCACGCGTGGCAGTTTATCATGCGCACGTATCAAGCGAAAGACGACCTGTATATAGGTCAGTTAGAGCAAGCGCTCACTAACCTCGAGATGGGAGAGCACGAGTCCGCCACATCCTATTGCAACCGTGCACAGCAGATCCTAGTGAACTTGAGGATGGCCGGCGTAGATTATTCGCAGGCGTCTTACATTACTCATGTCGTGAAGGGGTTGCCACAACAGTACAACCTCTTACGCAGGATGCTGAAGCTGCCGCAGGTACGCAAGGAGTTGGACGAGGACACCCTCGCTAGCTACATTATCGAGGAGGAGTGTACGCTGGCAGCGGAGGGACGGAAGGACCAATTTCTTCCCCAGGCCAACCAGGTCTTTACCAAGAAGGGTAAGCCCCAATCCCAGCAGACTTCATCCCCTTCCCCTCCCACTACGGCACAGCAGCAGCAGCCTAAGACTGGGGGTGGGGTTGGAGGTGGAGGAGAGAAGTGGAAAGGGGCTAAGGATGGTCAGCCAAAGGGGGGGAAAGGTGGCTTCAAGGGGAAGTGCTACGTGTGTGGACAGACAGGGCATGTTGCTAAGTACTGTCAGCAGCGGGCGGATAAGGAGGCAGACACGGGTGGAGAGGGTTCTGGAGGCAGCGGCGCGAGTGGCAAGGGGGACGATGGCTCTAAGGGGAGCAGGCAGTCATCATGTGCGATGGTGAAGCCCGTTGTAGAGCAGACTCCTCTTGTCGTGCTGGAGCCTGAGGCCGGGGAGGGCTTACAGGCTCTTGCAGCTGCTGTGAAGGCGAACCCGAGCGTCGTGCTACTTGATAGTGGATGCTCCCACCATCTCATGGGAGATCGTTCTGCCTTTGTGGAGATGAGCAGCGGCGGTAGTATCAAACAAGTGAAAGGCTTCAACGGCGCGCTTCAGGACGTGCAGGGGCGAGGCACAGTCGCTCTTCTTGGAGAAGGGGGCAGGCGTCTCTTGGTGTCTGACGTGCTGTACGTACCTGGAGTGCAGGCGAGTCTTCTTTCTGCTGGGCAGCTGCGTGATAGTGGTGTGCAACTGCTGGATGCAGGCGACGTGACTCTGCTGCGGGCACCAGATGGGTCACTTCTTGGGCGTGCAGAGTACAAGGGGCGTGTTCTCTGCACGAACTTCCAACCGTGTTTGTCGCAGCAGCAGGAAGGCGAAACGGTGGCACTTCGTACCTTGACGACGGGCGTGCGGTCTAAGGTGGACATGTGGCATGCGCGTATGGCACACGTTGGTATTGATGCCATCGAGCGCACTGCGTCTCACGGGTCAGTGAAGGGCTTGGACCTGGAGAAGGGGGGCAAATCAGGCATACCGTGTGTCTCCTGTGTTGGGGGGAAGATCACTCGTCATACCTTCCCGCCAGTGGGTGCGGAGGAGGATGAGTTGCTTGGGGTGGTGCATGCTGACCTGTGTGGCCCTTTCCGTGAAACAGCTAAGGACGGCAGCCGCTACTTCCTGGTGCTGAAGGATCGCAAGTCGCGGTACGTCTGGGCCTACCCTTTGGCTCAGAAGAGTGATGCGCTGGCGGCGTTTCAGAAGTGGCTCCCGATGGCAGAGCGGCAGTGCAAGACCACGGTGCAGGCGCTGCGCACTGATCGGGGTGGCGAGTTCCTGGGGCATGACTTCACGCTCTTCCTCGACGGCAAAGGCATCATCCATGACCTCACGTGCCCGTACACGCCGGAGCAGAACGGGATGGCCGAGAGGGAGATGCGCAGCATTGTGGAGGCGGTGCGGACGATGCTACTGCACATGGGTGTACAGCATCATTGGTGGCACCTGGCGTTGGCGCAGGCCGTCTGGGTGCGCAACCGCGTGGAGCACGCCTCGCTGCCCTCTGGTGTGACGCCGTACGAGCTCGCCTTTGGACACAAACCCGATGTCAGTATGGTGCGGGTATGGGGCTGCATGGTGCAGTACATGGTGCCTCAGTCGCAGCGTGGGGGGAAGCTGGCACCTAAGGCTCGCTGGGGGTTGCACTTGGGGGTGTCCGCAGCGAGCAAGGGCTGGACCGTGCTGGACTTGGAGTCCAACCGCCTCATCACCACTGTGGAAGCTGTGTTCTATGAGACCATGTCCTTGGCAGGATGGAAGGCGTGGCATCGGCAAGAGCATGGGGGGCGTCCAATGCCCTATGAGCCCCTTCCCTCTCACTTCCCGATCACTCTTGAGGAGGCGGTGGAGGAGGAGGAGGTGGTCGCACCTCCTGCTATGCCCTATGTCCCTACCTCGGTCCCCACCCCACCTCCGCCTTCAGTTTACCCTCGTGTGGTTCCCCCTGCCCCACCTTCTTCATCCTCACCCCCCTTGGCTTCCCCTCCTCCTCCTGTTATTCCCTCTCCCCTTCCACCCTCCATCCCTCCTGCACCTGCTCCACCCTCCTCTTCATCTTCCACGGCGCCGCCCGTTGGTGAGGGGGGGAACATGGTGCCACCGTCTGTGGAGATCACCGACGGGCAGCGCCTTGAGACTGAGCAGCTGCAGGACGAGAGCAGCATGGATGGAGTACAGCAGAGTGGGGGGCAGGAGATAGGGGAGCAGCAGTTAGGGGAGCAGCAGAGTGGGGAGCAGCAGATAGGGGAGGAGCAGATTGAGGAGCAGCAGATGGTGGACCAGCAGCTAGGGGAGCAGCAGACAGGGGAGCCGCAGACAGGGGAGCAGGAGCTGTGGGGAATCAGAGATGGTGGTCGTGTGTTGGCTTCTGGGACGATCACTGCGCCACTGCGTCGCTCCACTCGCATCACCCGTGGTATCCCGCCTCTTAAGTATGCTTGGGCTTTAGTGATTGAGCCAGCGGGATTGGATGACGAGGAGGAGGACGAGGAGTGGACGGACCTGGATCCTGACGTGGTGGCCGACCCTGAGAGGCAGTGGGATATAGCGAAGATGACAGTGAAGGAGGCCTTGGGCTGCTGGAAGGGCGACAAGGTGAAGGAGGCAATGGATGAGGAGATGCGGAGCTTGATTGAGCAGGGGACGTGGGAGTTGGTTCCGCGTCCGCCAGGGGTGAATGTAATGAAGAACCGCTGGATCCTGAACACCAAGTTCCGACCGGATGGGGTAGTGGAGCGTGAGAAGGCGCGGCTGGTGGTGAAGGGGTTCACGCAGGTGGCAGGGGTGGACTATGAGGAGACGTACGCTCCTGTGGGAAGCTATGTGACGGCGCGCGTACTTCTGGCGATCGCAGCTGCACTTGACTTGGAGCTGATGCAGCTAGATGTGAAGAATGCGTTCCTCCATGGCGTGCTGGACCGAGACCTGTACATGGAGCAGCCGAGCTACTACGAGGATGGGACTCCTCGTGTCTGTAAGTTGTTGAAGAGTCTGTATGGTCTCAAGCAAAGCCCGATGCTGTGGTATGAGGCCTTGGATGGGGTGCTGCTTGGGGCTGGATGGAAGAAGAGCAAAGTGGATGAGGCTTTGTACTTCAAGAGTGATGCTGACGGGGAGATGTGCTGGCTGCTGGTGTATGTGGATGATTTGCTTGCTGCCAGCCGCAGTCAGAGCATGCTGGGGGAGCTACGTGAGCTGCTGCAGAGTGCGTTTCAGCTGCGGGAGATTAGCCCTGTGGAGAAGTACCTGGGGCTGCAGCTGATTCGGGACAGGCCTACGAGGAGGCTGTGGCTGCACCAGGGGGCCTACGTGGACAAGGTCCATAGGCGCTTCTTCGACGGGGAGCAGCCGCTGCGAGTGCCTCGCACCCCCCTTTCCTCTGACCCTTTCAGTGTGCAGACCTTTGAGGATGCGGGATGGCAGTCTCGCCAGGAGGAGGAGTACAGGCAGAAGGTGGGATCCTTGCAGTTCGCAGCCTGTACCACTCGTCCCGACATCTCCTTTGCCTGCAGCAAGCTGGGGTCAGGCCAGACTGTGCGGAGTGACCAGCACTGGAAGGAGTTGGACCGGTGCTTGGCGTACTTGGTGGGGAGCAGGGATGTTGCGCTGGAGTTTGGTGGTGGGCCTGAGTCCTTGGAGCTGGTGGGCTATGCCGATGCGGATGATGCGGGAGACAAGCAGAACAGGACTAGCACTGGTGGCTATGTCTTCGTGCTCGGAGGTGCTGCTGTCTCGTGGGCGAGCCAGAGGATTCGTTGCGCCACCCTCTCTTCCACTGAGTCTGAGTACGTTGCTGCTGTGGAGGCGGGGAAGGAGGCGCGTAGGCTGCGCTTCCTGCTGGCAGAGTTTCAACTGCTGAGGAGTGAGGTTCCCACTACTCTCTTTGTGGACAACTCCTCCGCCATTTCAGTGGCAGGTGGCATGGGGCTCAAGGGGAGCCTCAAGCACATGGAGCGTCGTCACATGTGGCTGCAGCACATGGTCAAGCGCAGGAAGCTGCAGCTGCAGTACATCCCTACGAGCGAGCAGCCTGCTGACTACCTTACCAAGGCATTGCATTTCCCCGCCTTCAGTCGTTGCTTCGAGGCTGTGGGGCAGGTGAGGCTCTCGAGCGAGGGGAGTGAGACCTAGACACTCCTTGATGTGGTTGGTGCCATGGCCTATCCATGGCTGGTGCGGTGCGTGTTTGCACTTTGAGAGTGCTTCGTTTGTGTGTGTTTCCCTTTGTTTTGGTGTGTATGTGTGTATGCATGCCCTGTGATTATAAAGGGCCTTGCTGTAGTATGGCAGGGGAGTGTTAGAGGGCCCTACGACAGCA